CATTTAAGTTCCGGAGTAGTCCCACTGAAGTCCATGGTCTTAGCTGCTTATAGTTTAACATGGTCTGAAGTATGTGGCTGAATCACAGCCTAATTGAGCCGTCACGGGTGATAACGGGTGGTCTAGTGTTTTTGTCTAGTATTTTTCCCTACGAATTCTTCTCTCTGAATGGGCTTTACACTTGCCAACAAGCCTTTTGCTGTTCCTGCCGGGATTTAAGGTGCGCACATGTTCCAAGTTATAGAATACTTTTAGTCAAACAGATTGGCACATTTTGTCATTTCTCCCACTCTATCATCATTTTGGTTTTACATTTCCTTGTACTATGCAATAAATTCCTTGCTGAATCGCAACATGTTGATTTATTTAATCTACTCCTTTGATGGCTTCCATGGAGTTTGTGTTGGTTGTAGAGGTTCCATTTCTGCAGGACCTTCTGCATACGCATGGCCCTTGATTTCCGCCTTGCTCATTCCTTTATTGTAAGCTGTGTCAAGCCCATGGAGTGGTATTTGAATTAAGAACAGGGATGAATGCATCAGTCCATATAAAGGCTTTTCCCCAGTGGAAAAATTAAATTTTTTCATTGTTGTAGAACTTGTTGGTTTTTCTAAATGGTCACATTCCTTTGGACATCTTGGTCTCTGCCGGGCCCCAAGTACTTAAAAAAAAAAAAAAAAAAAAGCTGGGTCTTGCCCTATTTCCTGCCAAGCTGGCATCAATAAGTATCAAGAATCTTATGTGAAACTAGCAATTTGGAGCAGAACTGGCCATCCCTAAAATTCAGGTGTTTTCAGCTCTAGTTCCTTCTCTCTGAGAAACCCTGGTTGTATTTGAGAGCTCCAGCTTAAAATGAGCACCCAGGGCTAGATCCACAAAGGGAACTTCAGCTCAGTTGTTGCACTGCCTAGTGCTAGGCATGCTTCCTCCTTGTGGAAGCCACAGGCAGCTGTGAAGGTGCCCTATATATGGCACAGGGAGAGTCACACCCCCAGCATGCTGAGTGGAGCGATGCCTAATCCTGCTAACAAGAAATGCTGAGGAGAGAGTTGTAGCTTAAACCTTGCCTTTAAAGGCAGTTAGGCACCTAACTTTGGGCTGGATGGCAACACCTCCCTCTCCTGGGAATGCTCAGCCATGAAGCTTCTCCTGCTCGTAGGCACCAAAGCAAGGGTCATCTTTTTTCATTAATAATGAAGGAGCAGGTGCTGTTAGTGACACCCTTCCCTCTCCCCAGTAATTAGATCATCCCAGGCTGCCTGATTAGAGAAGGGATTTGCCCCCAGGTCTCTGGGCATCCCTGGCAGCACTCTAGTCTGGGATGGGGCTTTTTCTCAAGCTCTCCAGTTGAAGCTGTTTCATGCTGTAAGAACTACTTCAATATTCATTATGCGCTCTTTGTTGCTAGCCTGACTCTATAGGCCAGTGGTTATGACAGTCTCCTAAATGCTAGGAGACTCAGAGTCAAGTGCCTACTCCAATAGTTAAGTCACGGCTTCTATTGGGGAAACTGAGTGAGCGCTCTGCCCCAAACTATGTGGTAGCTGAGCAACTTGGGCACTCACCAGGCTGATAGGAGACCTGGGCTCAAGTCCCTGTAAGGAATCCGGCTGAGTGTGGCTGTGAGTCTCTTACATTGGAATTAGTGCACTCAATGCCAGAGTTGTATAAGGACACTGGTGCTGGAATACCTAGTTTGGGATATGTTCCCTCCCCCTGCCCCCTTTTATGTTCACCTGCCTGTTTTGGAAAAGGTTAAACCATGATAATATCATGTCAGGGTTTTGTATACTAAATCAAATGGGTCACTCTAAGTCAAGCGGTCCTTCTAATGAAGAAGTAGGGTGCCATCTAGTGGCTAGTTACAGTCCTTGGTTTAACAGAACACTAAACATGCATGCTTACAGCAGCTCTTGCTTTAAAACCACCTGTCCTATGAACAAGGCCAGTTTTCTGAACTTGAACTATGGTGTTAGATGTGTGTGACATGGTAAATTTACATACACACATTTCATAACTTTGGAGTGGTCCCACAGCCATTTCCACTAGGCATAGCTTGCACAATTTCATTTACACTTTGAAAGCGAGACTAAATAAACAGGTTTCAAAGTAGCAGCTGTGTTAGTCTGTATTCGCAGAAAGAACAGGAGTACTTGTGGCACCTTAGAGACTAACAAATTTATTTGAGCATAAGTTTTCGTGAGCTTACGCTCACTTCATTGGATGCATTCGTGAGCTGTAGCTCACGAAAGCTTATGCTCAAATAAATTTGTTAGTCTCTAAGGTGCCACAAGTACTCCTGTTCTTTTTACTAAATAAACAAGTTATAAAACTTTAAATGGGGGCGGGGGGACTTGATGGCTCAAAGGCTATGTTCTCCAATGATTTAATTCTTTGATGCAAATATTCTGCTTTATTACTAGCCTCAAACACTGAACACATCTGCGCAAAGCAATTGAGACACAGCTCATCAAAATCCACTGGGCATGAAAGTAGGGTTCAGAGAGAACAGAGTAGGGAGGTGTGGGGGGGGGCCTAGTCCCAGCTCTAAGAGGGATGTGCTCGAAAATCATACACCACCACTGAGGCTCAGTTTTCCTAGCTGTTAATTGGGACTAATGCCGCTGTCCTAGAAGTGCTGGTGTAACCCACACACCTCCTGGGTGTGGTGTTCTGTCCCAGAGTAGCAGCGAGACCACTTAGAGAGATTAATGAGTTTGCTCTACAGGATTAGCTAAGGGCCATATGGCTTTTAGCTCATGCAGTAGAGGCTCATGCATTTAGCTCCAGAGGTCCCAGGTTTGATCCTGCCCGCCCCCGACCGGGGTCTGTCGGTGTTACACTGTGACACTTAATCAATGTGAGCAAAGTGCTTGAAGACTTTGGTGCAACACTTACTAAAGCAAGACAGCTCTTCCAATGTGTAAGTTAAAAGATATACTACGCTGACATCAAAACACATGGGCCCAGCTTTCTCTCTGATAAAGCGCCACTGAAGTCAATGGGATGAATTTATGTGTAGTTTACACCTCTGAATAGGAAGGTGATGAAGGCATTATGGCAAAACAAACTCACTAATACATCACCCCTTCCCCCCCAAAAAAGCTATTTTATGGCATTCAGTGGAATTGAGGTTTCTCACTCTGAAGAAGCAGGGGCTATTTGTAGCCTTTAAAATGTTATATTAATTTCAAGGGCTGCCTCCAAATTATCCTACCGCATATTAAAGTAAATGGCAATGTGCTTCAACACGTGCTGCTTAAGGGCCTGATTCATCAAGGTACATAAACACAGCTTGAGTGGTGCTGGTGACTTTAGTGGGACTCCTCACATGCTGCATGTCAAACATGCTTTAGTACCTTGATGAATCAGGGACAAAAATTCAGGTCAAACTATTTCTGTATCTTTTTGCAGCACATTATGTAACGTGCGTGATGCCACCCTTCCCTTCTGCACCGCCTTCTCTTCTGTTTCCAGCCACTGTATTTTTTAACCCAGTGCTAGCTGCCCCTGTCACTGAAAAGGGAAGGCCCTTTGCTCCTTTATTAGTTTTTCAGGCATGGAGTCTTAGAAAGTGCTCTTGGCCCATATGTGAAAATCCTGTATAAATTGTGCAGAGTTTTCTTTACTGTTTTAATTGTAAAGTAGGTTAGTAGTTTAACCTTTTGAGAGGTGCCACATTTTGGATTTGTCAAGGTGCAGGGATTTTTGTTTTGCCCGCATGCAAATGCAAAAAATGAACTGTAATGGAGAAGCTGCACCCAACTCAATCCCATCACTGACACCTCCAGCAGATGGGGCCCGTAACACTGCAAAAACAATGAATTCAATTATGGAAATGCTAATCTTTCTGTAACATTTAGGAATTATGTTGTGGCTGTGATTATATCTAAGGTATTGCTAGAGGGAGCTGCTAACGGAAGTGAGAGAGGCTTAAAGGCAATGCAGAATGGAGAATTTTCTTAATCCGAGATTCCCACTCTCCTCCCTGCCACTGTAAACCATCCTCCATCCCCTGGTCTGTACACCTGATGCAACCAGCTCTTCTCCCACTCTTGCTTCCTAACCCAGTCCACAAGACCAGGACATAGCAGCTTGTGCAAGGTAGGGAAGGCAAGGGGGGAGGTTACACAGCTAGGGACAGGATATGATACTGAGCTCGGTGACAGATTCCAATTACTACTTCAGAAAAGACTGGCTAGAAAACGGCATGAGTTGAAGCTGGGAGATGGGTTGTTAGACCTGGTATAAACGTATTGGAAAAATAAGGCTTTCCTGCTTTGCTGTGTCACTGCTTTCAGCCTTGCCTCATCCTCCATGGAGTTATTTCTCTGCTGGAAGCAAATCTCGTGTATTTTGTGCGGGAGGTTAGAGCACCCAAGCTGTCCTCTTTTTAATGTTTCTATTTATTATTTTTTAACCTCGGCCTCTGGTTGTTTATACCAGTGTTGAACTAAAAATACCAAATGTATTTTCAGTTCAGGATTCAAGCACGGATGGGTAAACTGGTTCAGGAAAAATAACAGCCCCTGATTTCCAAACTGTCAGCACTTCCTAGACTTGGCTGGGTACGGCGAGAGCCTAGTCCAAGGAGATTTTTCAACCCAATTTTGCAGATGTAGATCCCAATCCTTCAATAAGAACTCGCCAGTGAGTCTCCGTGTCAATATAGCTCCAGCTAGACATGGGGGAGGAGGGGTAGCCATGTGGCGCAGTCTGCATGATGGAGGCCTTCTGTAGATAGCAGAATTCCCAACCTTATGAAATTCTTCATCACTACAGTAGTCTGAACCTTCCTCAGACTATCTCCACCCCAGTCATGGCTGCCTTCTCTAACCCATGAGGAGCCACCATAGCTTAACAGAATGAAACAAAGAACCATATTCTGCTCTGTAGTATCTGTCCCATCCTATCTTATTGATTTCAGTAAGATGGCATGTGTATAACATCGCATCATTGGGCCCCTAACAATTAATACGTAATAAATTAACCAAACACGATTCTGTACAAAACCTGAAATATTTTACTTTTTTTTAAACTTTGATCTAAGTTTACTCAGATTTCATGGACTTAATACAAGAGCATTTGATATGAATCAGTAAATAAAACACTGTAATAGATAGCCACAATAAACTTTGTTAGAAATGTACATGTTGCGAAAATAATAATAAAAAAACAGCATGATGTCTGGGTTATATTCTATAAATGCTCAACAAGAACAGTATACTAAGGAAGCTTAAAAACCCTGCTCTGCATAAATCTGGGGCCCTATTCAACTAACTTTCTCAGACTCCTAGCATTCAGAATCTATGTCCCACTGTAATAGTATAAAGGTTAGTTAATAAGGCCTCAGTTGTTTCCTGTAGCTGCTTTTTTTTTTTTCCCCCTCCCGTGGACATCACATCCAGGTAATGTGTGTATATAAACAAAGCTCATAAGAAATGTACAAATATAAAAAGCTACAAACATTAATAAATTACATCATCACAAAACACAAACACTTCACAAGGTGCTAGTAAAATAACTGTATCCCCTCATAATACAAGAATTAAAACAAACAGCTGGTATTAAAGTTGAAGATTATTCTTCAAAATGTGTCTTAAATAGATTATTTTGTACTATTTGATTCTGTATAAGACATTTTATAAGGCTGCACAAAGTTTTACTTGTTTTCCAGGCAACGCCCAAATCCCAGCCCCTCCCCCCCCCCGAAAGTGAAACAAAAACAAAAAACCCCACCCAACCCTTTTAAAACCAAACTAAAATACAACTGATAATACTCAGCAATGACTTGTATAAATGTTAATGAAGTAGTCTATAGAAAGAAATGTCTAAAGATACTTTACTTTTATAAAAAAAGTTATTTAAAAAGCTATGTACAAGCTACATTCTATGAAAAATATGCCTTAGTAAACACATCTAAAAATTAAAATACGGGATTGCCTGAGAAACAAATTTAACCCCTCAAGTGTTTATATGCAGACAAGCAGTTTAATGTAAAATAATGCACTCTACACCAAACACTAAAAGAGTTAAAAGACAAAAAAGTATCCAGTCAAATTGTCAATAAGCTAAACTTTCCCACTTTCTGACACCTGGATGCATGCAGCCCTCCTTCCCAAAGTAAGTGTATCTGATAAGAAGTGCTTTGATATAAACGTCAAAAACTGCATGTGAAGAAGCAGAGCTTGACCTCATGTACTGCAGTTAGTGACTGCAAGGTCTGCAACACATCTTTGTGTGCTTTGATTTCTACACTGACACAAGCTATTGTACCATCATGTGTGTCAGTTAGCTACAAAAACTGGCCCTCGGGCATAGAGCTAAAATTTCCAGCCAGTTATGAACCAAGCAGTAAACCAGCTCCCACTGTGCATAACAAATGCTGCCTCGTGCACCCAGTGTTGTCCAACCAGCAGCTATCTGAGAGGCATGGAGTAGTGCTCAAGTGCAATAATGGCTCCTCCAACACATCTAGATCATGATCAGGGTGAGATAATGAAGTTTCACATTATGCAGACTACCTTCTGCATTCGCTATAGCATGGGGAAATGTCTCCAGCAATCAAATTTAAGGTCCCCCACCTTTTAATATTGTTTGTTAGACAAATGCAGAATTTTTAAATTTAATCTCCTGCTCTTTGACCAGATACCTCTTTAAAGATAGTACTCTTTTTTTCTTAAGTGAAATGTAACTGAAATGGATGTTCATTCTGTTAAAACAACTGGTTTCCACTTATGAACAAGTTAAAGGGATACTTTCCTAAAATTGGAATGATCCTCAATTTCTTGGATTATCATTAACTTTTTGCGAACTAGTCACTCTCAGCAATTTGAGAAAGGACATCTATATTAAAAAATATTTATAGCAGTATTCTGTACACTTTAACTGCTGAAAGTTAAAAACAATTATTAAAGTGGTGGCAAAAAGTTAACTGGTATTGTCCCTAAGATGATGCACAATACTACTGAAGTCCTTCAAGAGCTGAAGAGTTAGTGTTGGCTCAGGAATTACTGAGCTTTGATCAAGTCCCAGTTTTCAAAATATTAAAGGAGAAGTTTCCCATTCCGATGGATTTTCAAAATCTTCCCAAGCCTCTGTTTTGCGGTAGCCATGCCCTTTTTTGTACGTTTTCCTGAAAATTGAAAAAAAAATAAAAATGAACATGTTAAGTAACAGCAGCCACAGCTGTGTAGAAACAGCAAAGCAGGCTCACTGGGTACAAAAACAGAAGCACTAACTTCAGAGGTGGTGCAATCACACTGATGTCTGATTTCCACCTGAAGTCACTACATTTTGGATATGTATACTACAAATTCTCAAGTTAACATGGGGTGTGTGTGTGAGACCCATCCCTCAGAATGCTCAAACGAAAACCAAGCATTGCCATACATTGCAATCTGTGCTGCGTATCCCAACCTACACTATATTGTCTTACTATGGATTTTAACCAAGTTTCATTAAGAATGAAACCCAGATAGCACAAAAATCCTGAAAGTACCATTCCCTGTTTAACTGTGTTCGTGAACCAAAGTACCCAAGAGATGCATTTGAAAGCATGCATGTATTTATTCTATAGGGGGCTCTCTTCAAGTGTCTAAAACTCAGTGCCAGATTGCACTAATCTTACTAACTCACTCGCCAGGCTTAAATGAATTTAAGATGGTTCCTAAGCACTGTGTTCAACCCTTGTGTGGTGGAATGGAGGCATTCACACGAAAGAAGCTTTTAAAAAAATCAATCATCTAGATTAGACAGTTTAACTGTTCAAAAGCTGCAAAGGTTGTAATTGTATCTCTTGCTGCATTAGTTTAAAGAAAAAAAACTGTGCAGTTTCAAAGACTGAGGTTCATTTTAATTGTATTTATTCTTTAAAAATATATTCTGTTTTACAAGGCTTTGATTAAATTCTATAATAGCTAGCAGCATTGGTATAACTTGTTCCCTTTTCATCTGTGACCATATTGTGACATTCACCATCTTCACTCTGACACATCTAGGAAATATAGCAACTTCATCCATGATTTTATACAGGGCCCACCACACTGTCATGTACTTGTATTTTGCTTGCACTTCTGTGTAACCTACTTCCCTATGGGCTGTCATATAAGTGACACAAAAATGGATTTTTTAATCCATGTACAATCAGACAAGAATGCACTAATGCAGGTACTATGTCCAGGTCATCCACTCTTGCCTTGGTAGTGTGATTCTGAACGAGCAAAATGGCAGGCAGGCTTATGCTGAGCCTAGCTTCTGATCTTACTCTTACTCAAGTGAATGAGATTCAGCTGTGCAAAGACTGCAGTATCAGGCTCAACCATCTCCATGTATTTCCACACTTTAATAATATGGATATAGTTGTGCCTTTCTTCTGGGCAGTTTTGGAACCAGAAATATATCATTTTCCACGTTGACAAATGGGGAAAGTGAGGAACAAATAAATTATGACTTGCTCAAATCCACAATGAGCCAGAAGTAGAGTTGAAGACAGATCAAGTCACGTCCCCTGACTCCCAGTCCAGCACGTGATCCACCAGACCATACTGCTGCCTTTCATAAATGTACATAAGCATAATATTAGCTCACCCCGTTGTTCTATTTCAGCAGTGAAACTACTGCAACTTGGTCACCTTTGTGTTCACCCAGCTGGGAGAGAAAGCAGTTGGTGGGTACAAATGTATCCTTGACACAGTGCTCTCCTACGTAATCATCCTATACTGTTTCACAATAGCTCTGACAGAGTGTGAACAAATCTGCATTCTGAACACTTAAAATGCTATCGAAGTAAACAACACCGAGAAGTCAGGTTATGGAAATCATGTGTTAGAAGTTACAGTTAAAACCTATTCATGTATAAAGTTGCAGGTGCTGTTTTTATGCCCCCAGTATTTTTTTCTCTAGACACGTCTTCTGCTGCCTCAAGAAACCACAGTAAAAATGTAACCAAGATCTTAGTTGCATGTCTAGCCAAGAACTGTATACTTTCTGGTCAGAAAAGTACATTAGTAAATGCACTTATCTTTACTTTTCATAATGTGTGTGTCATCTGGATCAGGCCCTTGATGCGCGTGCGCACACACACAGATATATGCAAACTATGCTCTCATTTTTGTGTATATAACATACATACACGCTCAAATAAGGGAGCATAGCTGTGTCTGTTTGCACATAGTTATACACATTTCTCCATGAAGGGCCTGACCCAAGCCCATTAACATAAATGGGGGTCTTTCCATTGATTTCAGTGGCTTTGGATAAGGCCTCAAAGTAGGCAGTGACCCTGAGTGTACTGTTTTTACTGAGTTTAACTGAAAGTGAAAAGCTTCTTTGTGGTTTAAAAGAAAGGGGGAGGGGAAATCATGCTGCTGTTTTAAAAATATTTTCTCTCTCCAGCACTGGACTGGATTGAGCGCTCTCTGACATCTCCAGCAAGCAGTGATGGCCCAACACTGCTGCCTCCTTTGGACTGCCCTTAAATCCCCATTAAATTCAGCCTTCTAGGCCCTCTTTTACCAACCACCACGTGGCTATCTTACAAAGGCATCCTAAAGCCTCCTTCTATTAAACAGGCACCCAAGGATGTCAGAAAGAGCCGTTCATTCACTTTCCTTCCGCAGAGAGGTAAAGAATTTGCTTATTTGGCAGACTGATCGATCACTCAGTCAGGGAGTAACGGTCACGAGTCCTTGTGTGACCCCTGGGCTCTGCATCCGAGCACAAAGCTTGAACAGGCTTGGACACCTTGACTGCTGTATTTTGCATTATTTCTGATTTCACCTTATAACCCGGTTCATTTCAACAGATTAACATATGGCAGAATGAGAACACGTTAAGAGGTAAATTGAATGAAACGTTTCATTTTGCTGCTGTTTGTGCCAACAGCCACAAGCATTAAAAAAATTCCTGTGTCTTTTTCTAACTTTTAGTTGGCTTTGTTTTCTGGATCCAGAGTTTGCAATAAATAACATCTTGTTAAGAAAATGTTACTAACAGCACATTTAGTGATACAGATGTTTTCAAGTTAAGCCCATAGTATACAGGACTATGTGAAATCTCATGCTATCTCCACTGTATTCATACAGTTATAAAACCATGGGAAATATAGTCACTTAACTTATCATAAATTGCATCATTGCTCAACTTTGACCGATCTCTCTCTCTCTCACACACACTCCCCTCCCCCTTTTTCTTGACTTATGACTTTCATGTGGGCTCAGAGAGGGATAGCGGAAGACAGGAGGGGAAACATTTGACTCAAACAAGATTCTAGCTATTCCTCAGTGTAAAAATAAAATTCCAATTACAGAGAGTAAACAAAAATATTGAAAAACAAGTTGATATGCGTGAGGTTTTTAATGGTTTTGTTTCCTTAAGCACAATAATTCCTAAAAGTAGTTTAAATATTTGCACTGTTGAAATTCAAGCAGCATTCCAATGTAAGAAAGGTGACTTAAAATATTCTGTGCATGCACACACACAGAATAGGTGCATTGGGATTTTATCTGTACTAAGATTTACAGTTGAAATCCTGACCCCACTGAGTCAATGGCAGAAGAAATATATAGAAGAAAGTGGAAAAACACGGAGTTTCTGAACAAGCAAAGGGGAAAAGGTGACAGGCTCTGTTGTGAATAGTTTTTTAGATACTGGAGGAGCTGGACTGTCATATTGAGATGAATTGCTTTAAAACAGGGAAGATGACCTATTGAGTTCGCTTTGGCAAGTATTAGGGATTGTTTCCTCCATAAGACACCCACACACAGTGGAACACATAGGCCAACAATGCTAACCCAACTCAGTGCTCATAGCCAGATCCCCAACTGGTGTAAATAAGCCTAGCTCCACTGAAAGAGTACAAGGACATAATGGAGAAGGGATGCAGGACTACACTGTAGGGAACAAGCTTGCCCTGTCATGGAGATGGACATTTCCTCTGTGAATATTTACAGTACCTTTGGCAGCTGCATTATTCTGTGATGATGATGAGGGTCTCCTCTGGGTGAGGAAAACTCCAGGTGCCATAGGTTGAGAGCCTCTGTTTACTTGGGCGACCCCAAACGTGCTTGCCCCGGCAGTGTATTCATGATCTGCTAGGCTGCTGGCATGGGACTCCAATTTGGGTTCAGGAGAGCTGCCTTCCTGAGAGAGTTTATTTGTGTTGTTGGGGGACAACTTCTTTTTGGTATTCTTCTTCTTCTTGCCTTTTTGTTCCTCCTTTCAATAAAGCATAGAATCCCCATTCAGCTACTGTGACAACCAGTGGCATTTGTTAACATTGTTACACTGCGTATCACGTCAAGAATGGGAATATTGTCAGAACTGGATAAAGACACAGAGCGAACAGGGTTGCTAGAAACTCAAAGTGAGAACTGATCACAGCAGCATTGTTTCCTTGTCTGTTAGTTGCATCCACCTGCTGTATCTTGTCGTAAACTGTGAGCTCTTAGGGCAGGGACTGTCATTGCATTGTGTTTGTACAGCACCTAGCACAATGGGACCCTGATACATGTCTCAGGCCCCTAGGTGCTTTAGTAATACAAATAATAATGATACAAGATAAATATAATAGGCCTGATTTTCAATTACACTAAGGCCCCTTTATGTCACTCTGGTAGTAAAACAAGGCATTAGAGTGGGCAAAATTGGCCCCCTGAGGACTCTCCTAGTGCAGGTGGTCTGGCACCCAGCCAGTAGAGAGCTGGTGTAAAGATATAAACTGGCTCTTCCTCAGCTCTCTCTGTGTGGGCTGCCTGTCAGGGTAGTGGTCTGGGTGCACTGCTCTATGGCTATTCTGTTTCCCAAGGTACACAGAGGCCTGGTCTACACTAGGGGGAGACTGATCTAAGTTACGAAACTTCAGCTACATGAATAACATAGCTGAAGTCGACGTACTTAGATCTACTTACTGTGGTAAGTCGATGGCTGACGCTCCCCCGTCGACTCCGCCTACGCTTCTCACTCCGGTGGAGTACCGGAGTCGACGGGAGAGCGCTCGGCGGTCGATTTATCACATCTAGACAAGATGCGATAAATTGACCCCCGCTGGATCGATCGCTGCCCGTCGATCTAGCGCGTAATGTAGACATGCCCAATGGGCTTTGGAAGACAGAAGATAAATTGGAGTAGACCTGTGGTTGCTCTAACATACACTGAGGGCTGGGTAGGTCCCTGTGCAGCCCCAGTATATGGGAGCACAAAGATGGCTTAAAGCCACCTTTCCCTCGTCCATTCCTGATCCAAGTATAGAAACAGAGTAATTGAGAATCAGACTCAATATTTTTCATCTCATGGGGAAAAATTAACATCTGTGCAGAAGTTAGCTGGGAGTAATGTCAATGTAGAGCGCAACCCTATGAACATAGGCTCTCTGTATCGTTGTGAATTTCACTCACAATGAAGGAACAATTTAAACTCCATAAGGACGATAGGCTGATATTGGAAAAAGCTTTAGTAACCTGTTAAAAATGGGATTACTAAACTGAAAAAAGTAGCTGAGTTCTAGGCTGTGTGTTGACACAGCTGTCTAGTGTCTTTTGGTACTTTAAAAAGGATTTAAAGATTATCGTGTTGAGGCAATGTAGTTTTGAACATGGGGTACTGCATTTGGCCCTACTTCCTATGAGGATTTTCCGTAAGCATCCTTAAGTTCAGCATGTTTGTATACAAACATCCATTTTCATAACTGAATGTAAGTTTACAGGATAAGAAAAAGCTTTATCGCAACTTTCAGAATTTAACATAAAAAAGAAATTAAGTTAAAAAAGATGATGAAAATCTGGCATAAATCTCAATTTTGAATTACTTAGATAACATTTTCAAAAACACTTACAAGACCTAGGTGTCCGAGTCCCATTTTTGAAAGGGACTTAGGTGCCTAACCTGCTCAGGAACTTTTGAAAATCCCACTAGGTGCCTATGAGCATCTTTAAGGGCCTAAATACCTAAGGTAATTTTGAAAATAAGACTTAGATTCCTAAATCACATAAGCACACTTGTAAATTTACTCTAATCTTCTTAAAGTAAAAGGTGCTTACACTGAAGCTTTCCCCCAAATACTTCTTTGTTTACCTGATCTGCCCAACTGATAATTTTTTCAGTGTGCTTAAAGCACCTAATTGAACTAGAAACCTCTAATCTGCAGTGTCGTTGGAAATCTGAACGTGTAATTTAGGACCTGATCCTGTTTCTATTGAGGCCACTGGGATTTCTGTCACTGAGTACAGAGTTGGATGTGTACAGTAATTAAACATGAGCTGTTACAACAACATAGTTAATATTCAACAAGCAACAGGAGAAGATGGGGAAGGGCTATGGCTCCATTTGAAAATAAACTTATTTTCTAAGGAAAAGCTACCTAGTATGCAAACTCACCTGCTGGGATAATTTGGCCGCTGCTGCTGCCAGTCCAGTTTCAATGGAGGCAACTCTTGTACCCTCTCGGACAGGTCTGTTTTGTCGAGGTACTGAGGGGCCAACTCTTGCTAAATGTAAGAACAAAATGAAAATACCGTATAACAGCTACTCTGTGTAGGGGGAGCACTGCATTCCTACAGAATGAAGGGCAAGGGGGGTGACAAGGGCAAGACAGAGCTTATTTTTAAATGGACATTCTACTTCAGTGGGGCGAACGTCTATAAGTGCCAAGCGTTAGTAAGGCTGTTGAGTGGCAGATGTGGAAATAGAGCTCAGGACTCCACTTAAACTATGTAGCTTTTGGAAGGAAACCCATATTCTCCTCCAGATTTTCCAAAACTGACCACATTTAATGAAAAATCAAACATTCATGGAATGTGAATTTATCCCAAATGAACAGGCAAAATGCTTCACAGGGATTTTCACAATCTCTTCCCACCCCACTTGGCTAAGGGAGAATTCTTCCAGGGCAGGTGCTATACAAGGCTCCCATAAGCAACCCTAACCCTGTCCTTCCTAACCCCACTAGTGCAGCAGGTAGCACTGAACACTATAGATATTCTGGGCTGCTCAACAGACAGCCCGGGTCAGGCTGCTGGAAATTAGAACATTAGAAATTAGAGCTCTCGAATATACACCAGGAGCTGCATTGGCCCCCAGCTGGCCCACAATCTGGGCACTGTAAAAGGTGGCACTTCCTGTAAGGCACAGCACAGAAACTGTCCCTGGCAGTTATTCAGTTTTACTGAGCTTTTGATGAAAACAGTGGGAATAGTTTATATTCTCTATTTTCTTTTTTAATGCTTTTTATATATAAGGTGTGGGCTGCCTCAGAACTGCTAGATTTCTCCACTACATCATCATAATACTAGCAATACATCATCACCTTCACTGGCAGGATGTGAAAGATACCTACAACCTACAGGAGATTACTTTTTATTTTTAAAAGGTAGCTGAAGAGAAACGTTGTCCAGAATGTGTTAGATTCAATTTAGCGTTCACTACAGTGGAACTATTTAAAAAAAAATAGCCTCTCAACTGAGAGATCTAGACGAGCACAATATTTATGATAAAAATAATAAATCCCATTGTTCTTTTCTAGGTTTTCAATTTGAAATATCCTCCCTGAGTCTGAACATCCAAGACATCATGGACTTACCTGTTGGGCTGTAGGGAGCATCATCAGAACTTTTTCTTTTCTTTGATCGTGATTTGAATACTGGATTATCTTCATCAGATTCCAAAGATGGGTAAACTAAACCAGGAACAAAAAATAGCTTTTATTGCAGCAGTATTAAACAGGAGTTTGAGGTAAGTATGAATCACCCATCAGTGTAGAACTGGACTAGCACAGTGGTGAATCAAGCCTAGAGTATCTATGTAATACACTGCGGCCAAGGGTAGCACGCAGAGTGAAATGTCTGAAAGGCACTGGTGCCCTGGGGATAGGGCATTAGACTAGGAATCAGGGGAGATGGGCTCTGTTCCCAGCAATGCCACTGACTTGCTGTGTGACCATGGGCAAGTCACTTCACCTCACTGTGCCTCTGTTTTCTCTCCCCCCCCCCCCCTTGCCTGTCTTGTCTGTTTAGATTGCAATCTCTTAGGGACAAAGACTGGCTCTTACTCTGCGTTTATACACTACCTATCACCATGGAGTCCCTAATCTCGGTTGGAGGCCTCTAGGTGCTATTGTAATGAAAATAATAATACAGTTTTTTGTTCACAGCGCATGATGTTATTCTTGGCTTGGAAAAGCCAGTCCTCTCCTCACATACAGCTGGGCCTATTTGGAATACCTGTCACTATCAGGTGCATGGGGGGGGATGTTACTGCCTGATCAGATAGGTCAGCACATAGGTTATCTCCATGGACATTTGGTGACCCTCACATGGTGTGAAACAAAATTTCCTACACCTCTAAAACACAGGCAGAGTGTGGTACCCTTAGGAGAAGAAGGTGTTTAACAAGCTAAATATGAGTAATGCTGTTGCAAAAAAAGCAAACATATTCTAGGATGTATTAGCAGGAGTACTGTAAGCAAGACATGAGAAATAATTCTTCCGCTCTACTCTGCGCTGATTAGGCTTCAACTGGAGTATTGTATCCAGTTCTGGGCGTCACATTTCAGGAAAGATGTGGACAAATTGGAGAAAGTCCAGAGAAGAGCAACAAAAAGATTAAAGGCCAAGAAAATATGACCTATGAGGGAAGATTGAAAAAACTGGATTTGTTTAGTCTGGAGAAGAGAAGACTGAGAGGGGACATAACAGTTTTCAAATACATAAAAGGTTGTTACAAGGAAGAGGGAGAAAAATTTTTCTTCTGTACCTGTGAGGATAGGACAAGAAGCAATGGGTTTAAACTGCAGCAAGGGCGGTTTAGGTTGGACATTAGGAAAAACTTCCTAACTGTCAGAGTGGTTAAGCACTGGAATCTCCATCATTGGGGATTTTTAAGAGCAGGTTGGACAAACACTTGTCAGGGATGGTCTAGATAATACTTAAAAAGGAGTACTTGTGGCACCTTAGAGACTAACCAATTTATTTGAGCATAAGCTTTCGTGAGCTACAGCTACAGTATGCATCCGATGAAGTGAGCTGTAGCTCACGAAAGCTTATGCTCAAATAAATTGGTTAGTCTCTAAGGTGCCACAAGTACTCCTTTTCTTTTTGCGAATACAGACTAACACGGCTGTTACTCTGAAACCTAGATAATACTTAGTCCTGCCTTGAGTGCAGGGGACTGGACTAGATGACCTCTTGAGGTCCCTTCCAGTTCTATGATTCTAATATCAGGATAAAAGTGAGGCCATTGGATACCCCCACAAGAGGCGGCTGTTTGCCAGTTTGCTGAATAGCACTATTTTGACTACACTGGTTGGGTGAGAGGTATGTGATTAATGCCACTTCTTAGACCTTTCTCGGAGTAAACAGAGTGCTGGACTCTGCCTTACATGGGCTCAGTGCTAATGTTCGTCTGCAGGAAAAACTCCTTCTGATTTTAATGGGCCTTGTGTGGTGCATGTGGAATTTGGTCCAGTTAAGACACAGACAGAGGCTCTTGGCCAAAACACAAAGCTATTCTCAGATTATTAGTCATTAAAATTATTACTCCATAAAACCCACACGGTACTCAATAAAATGTCGCTCTGTCAAACAACACTGAGATGACACTGACACAGCTTGCTCCCTCAAGACCTCTTTCCCTCTCTCTGCTCATTGTAAACCACACGTCTTACTGAGTGACTCAAAATAAAGGGTCAAATTGTCCCCACTTGTGGAAAAACAAATTTAGGAAACAGAAGACACGGTGAGTTTTCACTCACGAGGCTCCTGTCAGAGGGAAGAGGGTTGTCCATCCATTAATGAGAAGGGAGTTCATCACCCCTGTGCTCATTAGTGTCCCAGGTTCAGGGTAGATCTCAGGACCCTGGCTATCAATACTGGTTCTCATTGGTTCCTGCTCCCATCCAGTCCCAAGGCACACAGATCTATTCCCAGCTCCTTCCACCTTCTGGATCCATAGCTCCCCAACCTGGGAGCCCTAGCATGGAAAGTCTTGGGAGTCAGGGGAGGGAATGCTGTACGAGAACTTTTGCCTTCTTCTTTATGTCTGGGGGCTTTTCCTCCCCATTTGGGATTTGTTTGTTTTCAAAAGATTAAATCTGACTGATTCTTTGGCAGGAAGGGGAAAAAACAGGGCTGGATTAAAGCACAGCCTCACTGCAGGCCAATGCCGAGGACCCCTGCTCCTGGACTGATGTGATCACATCAGAATCTCAACTTTCATTTTAAAAAAGGTAAGTTCTAAGCCCCCATAATTGTGAAAACAGTTTGAAAATATGACCCACATGTAACCGATGCAGTGATGCTTGCCTGAGCCTGCAGGCAGCCTGAAACAATAGCTCTGAGAGGGGTGAACAGGTTATTAACTCTTACGAGCCATTCTGGAGAGTCCCAGCAACACAATGCGGCAAACAACTGCATATACTGGAGGGGAGGAGTGCAGCAGGCCTGGCCAACCTACCCATCCAAGCAGCTCCTGGGGTAAGTCCTGAGGTGCCCCTCTCTGTCAACTCTGCCTTTCTAAGGGAGAGCGCAAAGCCCTGCTGCTCCCAAGAAGGGGGAATTGCCATTCCTAAGGTACAGAAAGTGATCCCATGCTACCGCCCTTGTCGGTCTGAGCGGGGACAGGGAACCTCTGCCACTCTGTGCCTGTGTGGAGATGGGGGCGGAGGTCAGACAGGGCCACAGGAGTTGGGGGCATGGTGACATGTGTTGTGGTATGCCTAAAGTCCCAGATTGTCTTCATTCCCCTCCCCGCCCCCCACAAAAAAATACTTCAGATTTGTTTTGTTTTGGTTTTTTTCCCCAGTCATTCATTAAACCATGCTTGAAGAGTCAGATATATTGTTAAATATATGAAGAAAATCCTGGCTCACGTTTGCCTGAACCAGCAGTGTCAGCAAATATTAGGGTTCTGTGAGACATTCAGAAACACTCAACATCTCTGCCTTTCACTTTCACTAAACTTCATTGGGTTTTGCTCACAAATATATGCAGTTGTAGAGCTTTCAGAGGCAGCGGGATCTAGTGGGCAGAGAATGGGACTGGGAACCTGGGACTGCTGGCTTGCTTTGCCACTCATTCAGGGTGTGGCCTGGAGCAAGTTACTTAACCCTTCTGTGTTTCCATTTCCCCTTCAGTAAAAGGTGGATAATTATTGACCAACCCACATGAGGGGAAGGGCAAGAGAACTTATTAGGTGCTATCAACACGCTAAATGTCATCAGCGTTACCTTGTATAACATCAGACCCTTCAATTCGCTCTACAAATAGCTCAGTGGCAGTGAGATAAATGGACTGAGGGAGAGAGGGCAGGTGGTTTTATAAAAACCTTGAAAATGGTTTTCTCTACAGCCACATGCCTCCTGAACTGTTCTCTCCATGAACAGTTACAGTTCTTTTGGGTGAATGGTAACAATATCATTTGAGTTTTATTCAATCCTCTATATATATATACACACTCAGACTCCTTGATAGAGGAGTGCATTTAATTTTGATTTCAGTGTTTGTCTGTTAAAGCAATGTATGGTTATAATGTTACTGCTTAATTTAGCCCCTGAACTGAAAATCTGCTGACCAGATGCAGTACAAATGGAGTCTTTATAAACTCAGACTGCTTACAACAAAGAAAACGCATTAAATAGTAGCAAATATATAATTAGCAAGAAAATTGGGGTTTAAAATATCACCCTGTCTATTTTCCCATTGTCACATGTAGATCATGTCTATAAATTACACTTTCACAAAATTTGTCATGTAATTTATCCTGACTGATACGCCCACAAGGTGCTGTAACTGCAAACCAGCAACATGCACTTAACTTCTTTTAAACATATACAATATTTTCAAAATGTGGTGTTTTCATAAAACTTCTGAGTATTTCAATTTGAACTTTAATATATGTGTATCTAATAGAGAGAGCAGATTTCAAGGATGTTTTTAAGGGTCACAGTCAGCAGCAGCATTTTAAAGTAACATCTTTATTATGTTGCTAAAGAGCTGCATACCCTTCTTGAGCCCTTCATGACTATGTGGTTTTATTTTTCTATGAGTGTTAGTATTTCTACCTGCTCTCTGTCACACACACCTATAGAGGCTGTTTTTTCATATTATTAAAAAACTCGCTTCCCGAATATAGTAAACTTAATGTAGTGGTCTCAAAAATCCCTCTTTTCCTTTCACTGCAGAGTTTAGCATTCTTGGCATTAAAACTTAAGATCATGACCTCATCATATCTAATTCAGGGGTTCTTTACTGACAGCTTCTCTGATAGTCATTTCATTCTACCTCACTGACATATAAGTATCACAGTTTCAGGGTTCACTGCATAAAGTTCTATTTTTAAATAGATTTGGCTAATAGTGGTTTCAACTGCGCTGCTGTGCTTGTTAAAATCTTTTCCCTATACTACATAAAAGTGTAATATGTTTGTTTGGGTTCAATTGTAATAAAATATCAGTTTAATCTATTTATCTAATCTCAACTGTCTAATGTGTTTGTTCTAATCTATCTCTTCACCCTTGTCTATCTAATCTAAACTCTCTCTTTAATCTTGCCTACTTGATACAGACTAATCTAGCAATATAGGCCCCCCAAGCATGCAAACACTGAATAACTGTATGTACCAGAGCAGTCCCCTTGATTTCAATGGGACTAACTATAAGTGTCTAATTAAGCACATGCATAAATACTTTCAGAAATAGGGCCATAGCCATAGAGATTAATTTGTTTTCTCTCACCGTAATCAGAATCTTTAAAACAGGCATCTAAGTGGTCCTGGTCGTCATAGTCTTCAATGTCAATGCTGTTTTTTGTGCTCTTCTTCAGTAAGTGCTTGCCTGCATTTTTGTTGTTACTGCTCCCAGGTTTTTTTGAGTTTTGGGCTGAGATAGTGTTATTTTTAGCTTGGTTGGCACTCCATGAAGTCTGCAGGCAGGAGTCAGAAGACTGGAGATTTGCCATTGATAACATTCCTTGGATTGCTTCCTGTGTGCTGGGAGATGCAGGTGGCTGACTGAGGGAAAACATTAACAAAATAAAGAGCTTTAAGCTAATTACCAAATCAACAACATGAAACAAACAGTATTCACTGTAAATACAGCTCAATTTGATTTCTGGATTAATGGCCTCACCACTGTGTAGGTGTTTAGTATGGGAAATCAAGTTATACCAAGTATAGACCCATCAAGCATAGAAGGTTAGACGGGCAAACAGAGATTTGAGATAAAAAAATCAGGAAATCTTCCAAAATTTAGTTACGTGAATACTTTATCACAAGACATATTTTGGGCAAGTGAGGAGAGTAACCAAGTGACTCTCCCCACAACAAAAAGCTGGTAACCCAAGGACAATATAATCAACAAAATTATGTCTCCAGTGCCCATTTTAGAAGAGAATGATCATGAGTTACATATTAACCTGTGGATTGGATGGGCCAACCTCCAAGCTGGGTCGGCCAAGACTCAACAGTAAATGAGGGGCAACATTTAGTAGTCAAAAGAAATAAACAGGAGACTTTCTACAAAATCTTTCTTGGCTAGATCCTCAGGTGCTGAAAATCAGAGTAGGTCTACTGAAGTCAAAGGCCTTATGCCCATTTTACTATCTGAGGATATGGCACTCTGTTCTTATTCTGAACTGACTCACTGATGTCTTTCACTGTGATTAAATGGCCATCCCTGTGACCACTTGAACACTGTGTCCACTCATGGAGGATAGGTCCATCAGTGACTATTAGCCAGGATAGGCAGGGATGGTGTCCCTAGCCTCTGTTTTCCAGAAGCTGGGAATGTGTGACAGGAGGTAGATCACTTGATGATTACCTGTTCTGTTCATTCCCTCTGGGGCACCTGGCACTGGCCACTGTCAGAAGACAAGATACTGGGCTACATGGACCTTTGGTCTGACCCAGAATGGCTGTTCTTATGTTCAGTGTTTGCTTAGAGTTTTGCAAATTTGCCAAATTCATCACAAGTAAACTAATGGCATGTATTTTACTTCCTCTTCTATAAGTGGAGCAGAGTAGGGGGACAAAAAAATTAGGGTAAAATATTCAGAAGCGGCCTCAGTGACTTGAGAGCCCAAGTCCTATTTTCAAAAGTGACTTATGAGTCTATGCCCAGGGTGGGATTCAGTGGGCTCCTAAATCACTGACATGCTTTTGAAAATTTCACCCTTAATCTCAAACAAGATAACAAAAAGAGTTTGCCCATCACTGCTGGGCAACCATCTTTCATTTTCATTCACTACCACCCCACCAAAGAAAGGAAACCTAAGCATCTGAATCTATCCAATTGAAGAATTGAGTTACAATAGCGTTTCAAGCATCTCCTACACAACTGTCACATGCAAGGCTCGACCACTGCTAGATCCTGAAGGTCACAAGTGCAGTATGACAGGGTTCAGGGGACCATGCAGCTGCAGCTCTATGAACACGGTGAAAATTCTGTTCTACGCTGTAAGGCTTGGATCATATGTTCAGAGATGACATTTTGCACTGGAACATAACACATGGCTTCTCATTTGTGGTGTGTGTTTGTTAGACATTCTGGTTCTTTTTTAGGAGTAAAATTTGTTATTGGTGGTGTCTGAAATTGCTTTTTTAAAATTAGATAAAATATTGGTCCAATCTAAAAGCCCCACACTCCTTGAAATGAGTTCCTAGGCCTTGAGCCAGCAAGATAGTTAAGCATATTAACATGATTTCCATCACTGCAGAACTTGTACATTTCAGGTATTTGGGGTGTTTGGTTGAATAAAAATCTATTCTTGGATAACTGCACTGGCTTGGGTTTTTATAACATAATATTTGTAAACAGCCCTTCTCCCTGACCACCACCCTTAAGGGTGCTTAGGGTACTGTTCAAACTACACCGTGCAATGATACAGTTAGATATGGATCACGACAAAACACATCACCTTAAAATTACACAGGTAACACCCAATGTAAAGGGCTTTTTATAGATTTCTACCATAAACGAGAAATTTAAATACATTTATTAAAAGATCAATGCTAACCCTTTTTGCTGCCGTTCACAAACAGTACTGACAAATCCAGCACAGGCTGGGACAGCCTAGATGACCTTTTCCAGCTCCAATTTCTGTTATTCTCAATAGGCAAGAACAGGGATTCAGAATTGCTGCTTTCTGTAGACTACAATGGACTTCTTACTTCCCCCAATCCCAACATATGCTCCTGGAACGGAAGTCAGGATCTACTGAAAAGGAAGAGGAAGGAAGGCCTTCCTTGCGCTAGAGTACCGGCTGAAAGGACTGCTATATCAGGAGGTCAGAGCTGCTTGGAAGAGAGCTGAAGTGAGAATAAGGTGGGATCTAAGTACTTCCAGACAGAGAGTAAAATGAGATGTTTCAGTTAGGGGAGAAAGTGATGGAATATTAACTCTGAGTGCTCACAGGACTAAGCAGCGAATTTCCTTGTCCTCTGACTCTGTTGGCCTAAAATCCCTTTCACTACACCTTTGCAAGTAAATTGCAGTCACACAAGGATCTATTCTCCATCCATATTGAATCCCTCATTAGCATCAAAGGGAGTTAGTTATACCCCTATATTTAGAGAGGACTAGACCCTCTCCTTCCCCAGAGAGGAACAGAAACTGCTTAAAGATGTAAAGACTATCTCAACTCCATAAATTGGAGGAATTTTATAGCAAGGTCAAAAGAAGCCTAACTTTTAGTGCTACTGTATGAGACGCCCTTTCACATCTTTTACTCTCTTCCTTGTGGCCCAATCAGAAGAACAGAACTTCAGGAAACAGAATAAGCTGCTAGACCTTGTGTCTTACCCCAACAGAGACAAAGAATAAGATAAGTTGAGAGGAGGAAGAAAGATTCAAGAAAGTGGGAATATGACTAGAGTTATGCATTTATTACTGGTTTTGCATTACTACTGGTGTCTGATGGACAGAATAGCCAGGAACAGTTATGCATCAGTATATATAGACTGATGAATATAACCTGCAATGGAATTTTAGAAAATGTAGACCTACACTAGCCCTGACAGATAATCATAGCTGTCAAAAATGCTATCAGGCTCAGAGTGATATTAAACAAGATGATTAATATTTCACCCGAAAAATTTGCTTTTATAAAAGTTTTATTCCTGCAGTGGTAGGTTGATGTCAAAGGGTATGTAAAAATTCTAGAAAAGTGGTAAGCTAAAAAGGAAGTGTTCTACATAGCACATAGGTTTAATGAGGGAAGAAAAACAGGTTCACTAGAATGCAGAAGAAAATTAATCTCTTCAGACAGTACAAGAAAGCTATTTCTGAAAAGGCAGATTCTGTGAACTCAATACTTACAATTCTTTAGAGCTCAGGAAAACAATAAAGTGCAAAAACCACTGACAAAATGAAGATGTGTGTGGTTTCTTTTAAATCACTATTCAATAGAAACCACTAATACCAAACATTTCCTGGGCAAATTAGCAACAACATGTCACATTCTCTTATTCAATGCTAACTTAATCCTCTTTAAAGTTTTTTAGGATTCCAGATACAGTAACATGAATACATTCAGCAAGTTTCTTGAAACTAGTCACAGTCATAAAGAATCCTAAAAATGAGTTAAGCCAGTTCTAACAGCTAGTGAATCAATGAAAAAGGACATCAAGACATTTATTTGGTGAAGTACACTTTAGTCCTCCCATTATCATGTCAAACACCTTCGTTTTCTGTCTGTTGCATTCATATTGTACACAAAATCTACAAAAAATTAACTTATATTCTTCGCAGTTTGTCTCAAACACTAGACTCTCAAAACAGTGGAAACAGACCATCAAAAATGGGAGAATTAGAGAGGAATTGCCTAAAGCAATACAAGCTTTAACAAATAAATTGTGGAATCTGATCAAAACCAGCAGTTCTGAAAGTCAAACCACAAACTCAACATGTGTGTAAAAACCTCTTAAAGAGACAGACAGTTACATATAAGTCAAAGTGTTTCTCATTAGGCCACGTTCTTGCAGATTTGCATTAAGTCATTTTGTTCTGCTTTCGAAGCCAGAAAATGTAGAAGAAACAGAAAGCAATTATTAACCTCTGGAAAGCCATATCCCCTTTCTATAACCTTAGAAATTATTTTTTTTAAATACCATTTATAAAAGTAAACTTTCTGTTAGTTAAAAACCATGAAGACACCCACCTTGAAAATGGGAACAGAGAACCTCATAGACAATAGTACAGGCCCCCACACTGGATGGAGCAACTAAAATATGCAGCAATGTGCAGAACTAGTTGCTGCTTTGTCACTGAGCATATCCTGTTCACTTTTTGTTTCATTTGCATTAAAGGAGAGGATTTGGGGAGGGTTAGAGAAGAGGATATTATTGTGCAATTTACTGGATTAAATTCATGCCTTTTTGCACGTGGTTTTGCATTTTTGTAACTTCCTCTGCTGTATTTTTTTTCTTTCCCCCTTTAAAAGATACTTTACTAGTGCTTGGAAAGTTGTCACCCTTGAGAGCAGAGGGGGAATTAGCTTACTTCAATAATTGTTCACTGTGTAGTAAGCATCTGGTGATTTTCAGCTGCTTACATCTCAGCAACCGAAAGAGGTACTGCACTGAAAACTGTCAGCTCACACAGAATCTTGATCTGTAAAACATAGTAAAATTTAGTAAAACTTGGTTCAGCCATTGCACACTCCATAGGCAAAGGAAACGTTCAAACGGACAAAAGAGCATCAATACAGTAGGTGTAACATCACAGCTCATTAAAACGATATAGATGGGGGAATTCTCACACCGAATAAGAGATTTTAAGTTACAGTTAGCCCAACCTACTGTGGGCACAGCTGTGGCCCACGGTCTGATCTAACTCCCACTGGATCAGTGGATCAAGACCAGCTTGACTAAGTAATGGTTTGTGGAGCGTCCAAGAAAAACTTTTCCACGTTAGCTGATTTGAGAGGAAGAAAAACCAAACCATAGAAAGATGGGAATTATTAACACATGGTAGGAAAAACCAAACAGTACCACATTTGCATTGTGCAGCATTG